CTCTTTCCTCCACAACAGACCTAGCTAATTACAGAAAATGTTGCCCAAAACATTTGCCCTCTAGGAACATGCCTAGAGGTACATTTTCTCCCTTGTTCCTACCATACACGGCCTAGGTGCATTCTGTTCTCATAGAGCATGCTCTTCCCATTCGATTCTCCCTTTGCTCTGGGAAAAGCAAAAGCACAGAGAATTCATGAAGATTAAAGAACTGACAGGAATACATGAGAGGAATGGACAGAGAGAGAGAGGAAAATGGTAGTATTCCGCAAAAAGGGACAAAAGCACCACCAGATATATTCTGCCTATCCTCCAGGAGCAGAAAGGGAACAAAGGGCGGGAGAGGCTGTTTTTATAAATAGAAGTAGCAGAATCCTTGACCAAGGAAAAAAAAATCCACCCCTCACACACTCTTCTGACAGTAACACTAGGTAACACTAGATTAATCTATCTGCCCTACAAAGGGGAGACTTCTCTGAAATAGTATTTCATATATGAATAGATGGCACATGATGGCATCTAGGTTGAAGTTTTCATCATTACTCACTAAACTCCAGTTATATATAACTTCTTGCAGAACCATAACCATGAATACCATGTAGTCAAATGGGCCCTAAAGAGCTTCAAAATACTTCTAAGCTCAAAGTGAAAGAAAAGTATTACACATTCTGAGTAAAATTAGATAGGCTCTCCACAGCTGGCAAATCCTTAAATACAATAGCTATTTTAACAATACACATAAGAACAGCTTGGAAAAACAACCAAAGTAGTTTTGCCTCCAACATTAGTGTAAGAGCTTGGCAAAGGATATTTATAGCAGCCCAGTTACATTCCCAAGGCAGATAGCAACACTGAACTACCCTGTAACCCATAAAACTCACCTATTTTGTTTGACTACAGGAATGTCAGCACCATTAGGAACAAGCTCTTTAATTTCTGTTGTACCAAAATTCTCCACAGTGATCTATTTAAAACAAACAAAAAAGTACAAATCTTATTTACCGCGTAGAGTACTTCTTCCCACCACTTAGCTATCAGCAACATGAACGGCAGACACATAAAATTTATGGGAATCAGCAGCTGATGCTTTTGCTCAGACACTCCAACAGAGGCAACTGAAATAGATGGTATGAGCTTGATAAGAAATATGTCAAACACTATTTAAAACTTACAGTAAAATTAAGACAAAATGCTTCTTCTATGTCATCCTCTGGATAGTCCAGTAACTGTTGCATTCCCCTGCAAAATAAGTTACAAAGTACTTGTACCAGTGGAAGGAAAGATAAACTTATTTTCCTCAAGTATTCTTTATGCTTTGATAATTCAAGTTTTAAAAAAAAAAAAACAACCGAACTTTCTATTCTTATTTCATTTATTAGCTCATTGACTTGCACCTTGTGCAGTGTTGGGAAATCTCAAGCAATCAAGCAATAACACTTGTAGTGTTATTTCCTTTTGATTATCTCCAGGTGTGAAGAGAGAAGATCCATATACCTAGTCTTCAGCTAAGGGATTCCCAAACCAGACGCGATAAGTACTTAATAACCATTGATGGGCTCTTCCATTAACTTGTTTGATTTCTCCTTGAATCTATGAAAACTTTTAGTATTCACAACACCGAGGCAATCAAACATCCACTTCCCCTCATTTGAACCTCCTACCTGTTAGTGCTATTCAAATCCCTACAAGGGCAGTTATTTAGCATGTATTTATTCCTGAAATAAGCAAAAACGTTTCCTTGAGGGACTAAATAAGCTGTTCAGAACTAAAACTATGTTCATGTTTTGGCTTCTAAAATTAATGGCTAAACCTCAAAGGTTTTGAATTTCAAATATTATTTTCCCCTAAAATTCTTGTAGGAGACAAGAAGACGACACAAATACTAAAATCAAGCATTTAAAAGCAGATGTTTAACAATAGCACGTATACTTTCTCCAATGACATGATGGCTGCAAGTTACCCTGAGCTGTTTATCCTGTTAGTGTGAAAATAACACATTTTCTTTATGTTCTTAAAGGAAAATGTTGAATTAAAAATTAGTTTCTAGTATCACTCATTTTTCTTTCTTGCTTACCTGCCAACATCTGGCATCAACTCTTTCAAGTCATCCAGGGATGGCTTCTTATTCAATAGCTTTTTGTACAAAGCCAAAGGGAAATGAAGGTCTACAATAGTAAAATTATATATTGCTAGCCCACAGACAACACCAATCAAATGAAACAAGTCACTGTCTTCAAAGGTCTAAGAACAGAAAACAGACAAGATGGTTTAAAATAACGAAGTTAATTTAATCTTGCAGAGTCCAGAAGAAAGTGTACAGTGCAGAATAATCTGAGTGAGTTTCATTCATATTTTCCTTAAACATGTATGTATCTGTAAGTACTGAGGAAAACAGGATAAAGTTTTAACCAGCTGAGAAAGACTGAAATCCAAGGAAACAGAACTCTTTCTACTTAACAAAAAAAAAAAAAAAAGTTGAGATACAACATATTTTGTGTTACAAGTGATGCATACTGCTGAAAGTACTGCAGTAAGATTGTGTTTTTGTCAGTGACTTACTATTGCACTACTCAGTGCTTAAATAGATGTCAATTTTTTAAAAAATTATTTTTGGGAGGAGAAGTGAGGAACTCAATATTGACTCCCTTGGAGTTAATAGCCAAGGCTTAAAACACAACTGTGGAAATGCTAATATTCAGGTATTTGTGATATAACCAACCTGGTCAGTGTTTTTCTCTGAAAGAGGACTAAGTCATCAATGATCAAAACTTTCAAGAAAGTATGACCAGATGACTACCTACGAAATGGACCCATAAATGTGACTGAACACAGGAAAACCTGTTCAACATGCCACTTCATGAATTTTTCACTGCCACCTTGACTTACTGATTCTGCTCTTGGAATCAGTTTACTCTGGCTGGCATTTCTTCCTACTAAACTTGTTTGGGTTGGGGACAACTGGTAAGAAGTAAGCGAGGAATGAGGAAAAACAGAAGGGGAAAGTTTTGATCTAACAATGACAAAAATAAACATTTTTTGAGAATCCTTATTTCAGCTTCTCCTCTTGAAATAAAATTACCACAAACTCCTATGTTCATACATTATTAATACAAATATTGTAAGCTAAAAGAAAATTAATGACTACAGATTGCACCCTACCTTATCAGAGAACCAGATCAGCCTGGACTCTTCATGATACCTGAACATTCCATATTTGGGATCTAGCAACTCCCTCATGATGAGCAAAAAAAATTCTTTGCGAACACCTCCAGCATCAACAGCTTCTTCCCCTACAAAAATAACCTGAAACACACAATTCAGTTAGCACTGAATTAAGAAACGGATTGTGAAACAAGATTTGTCCAAAAGTATTCTCAATTACTTGCACGACAGTGAAAGACACTTAGAGCAATATGTACTGATAATACCTTGAGTGGCTTCTTGTAGTCTACATTCTTTGTTTTCCTTAGGACTTCCACAGCATCTCCTACAATATTGTCTCTCCGTACCATTAATATCAGGCACGGGTTGACAGATTCAAATACTGGCAGAAAGAGAGAAGACAAATTCTGCCTGTGAGCCTGATCAACAGCCATCTGGAAAAAAACCAAAGTGAAAGTGTCAGTAGATAACATAAGGTTCCTGTCAACATTCAATGTCCATCAGTCTTGTCTTAAAAAGTGCAGAAGACATGAATGGCAATAGCTACTATGAGAGCTACAGAATTTGCCCAAATTTACTTCATATTCCTTTTATCTCAGGAGATGTTTAATCTCAGGAAATATTTTTCCTTTACCCATTACCCTCATCAATGCTAATGTTCAGGGAAGTCTTAGAATACAGTTTTTGACATTCCAGTCAAAATACTTGGGATAACAAAAGGAAGAAAAAAAAATACTGCACTTCATCTAATGAAGAGTAAGCTGTTTAATATAAATCTGGCACGAAAACATCCATTAAAAACTAATTCACAGAATGAAAAGCCATTTGTTCATCTAAACAGATGAACATTTGTATTATAATCTTTGTATTACAACTGTTTAAAAACAAAATACTGTTGCAAATGTTCTGAATATGGCATAGAACTCTTTAAAGTTTGCATGTTTTGATACTATTTAATATTGTTAATAGACACATTCAATGTGAACATTTCCCTAAATTCATCAAATGTTGGTATTGACCATGTATATACATTTTTAAAGGCATAAGAAACTATGTTTATTATGAACTACAAAAGCAAGCTAGTATTTTTCTACATGAGCCCATTACTTGAGCATAACTTGTCTCTTTCATTTAATTTCAGACTCAGAACAGTAACTTTCATTATGTTAAACATTATAAACATGGGGGGGTCTGCGCCCTTACTGCTGTTACTTTTGCAGTAGACTCCCTTCATTCTTCCTTTCCTTTTTTAAGAATATGATTTATTATACCCTTACAGCAACTGGACAGGTATGGATTATATTTATAAAAGAAAATTCCAAACATTGAACAAAAGTATAGCTCACCACATCACACTGGTTTCAGTTCTACCTAGAGAATCATGAAAACACATTAGATCCTCTCAGTTACTTTAGGGTTGACTAGCGTGTCTATCTCTAGATGAGAGATATGGGTCAAGATATAGAATTGTTTGTATCGAGTATCTAATTTCTAGGAAAGTCTCCAGTTAAAACAGAAGTGAACAAATTAGGAGTAACATATAATTGCATTTAATAGGAAAAGAGCAAAAAACTACTGCAAACTGCAAGATCAGGAAACCTGATCCCAGTATCCCAAGTAGATGCTACATTTTCGAGATAAGCTTATTTTCTACTGCCTTGCAGACACCCATTAGACTTCAGAGTTCAGCAGCATTTTGAAGGTGGCATGACAGATGAAATGAGAAATTAGGTGAGCACTAGATATTCATGTGGTGCCAACACGTTGGCTCTCTGATACTACCAATCTTAAGAACAGCACTATCTCCTAAGTCTCATCAAGATAAGAAATTAAAAGCAACAGTAATTGGCTGCTGCCTCTAACAAGACAGATTGACTTCCAGCTCCAGGCTCTACACATGTATCATTTAAAGCCTGCCCATATGGGAGGTGGAGTTTTTTTCTGGTTGGGGACGGTGGTGGGTTTTTGGTTTTGTTGGGGGTTTTTTTGGGTTTTTTTGGGGGGGTGGGGGGGGAAGGGGGAGAGGAGGTGTTTGTTTTGTGTGTTTTGGTGGTGGTTTGTTTGTTTGTTTTTTTAACACCTATACTATGGGTCGTTAACACCTCAAAAAAGGCATCTCATTAATGAAAGGAAAAGAAGTTCCTTAGAAATTTATGCAATTATTAAACAATCTATTTTCAACGAGATCCCAAACCCACAAAACCACTAGCTTCTATCATGTACATACCCTGATATTAAAACTAGATCCCTCATTCTTATGGAGAAGAGATTACACAGCGTTTAAATAAAAAAAAACAAACCAAAGAAAACAAACAAAAACCCCACACCAACAGCAACCCCCCCAAGATCCCCAACTACAAAAAAAAAAAAATTCGTAACATTAAAAACCTGAGACTCTTACCTGCATCTGTATGACTGCATCTGTTTGTAGGAGAGTTGTCTTTGCCTGGGCATCAAATACAAATGGGTATGTGCAAATTGTAACAGGAATATCTGTTAACTAGAATGAAAAGAACCATGTCATGTGTCTGCTTATTTAAAAACCACAATCATGGTTACAGAAGCCATTGCAATAGTACTCATTTAATATTTATCTTACTGGAAAAACAAAGAAATCTTTACTCATTGTAAATGCAGGACCAAAGCATCATAGGAAAATTAAGTAGATTTAAAAAAAAAAAAAAAAACAAACACCAAACAAAAAATAACCACACAAAACACACACAAACAACAGTCTCACTTAGTATATTTTAATTCCAGAACTTTTATTACAGCTATCAAAGTACTCCTCGTTTTCAAAAGCTGCTCTGAATTTGCAATACAAAGAATTACACATTTTTGCCCCACAAAAGCTTTTCAGATTACAGCCATGCTAACTTAAAGCTCTACTTCCAACAGAACACATCAGACAATCCTTGACATTCATATTTCTGATTTCCTTACATTCTGCAAAAGAAATCAGATTGCAACCAATCTTACCTCAGTTAATCCATGGTTGACATCCTATGACAGCATTTGCACAAAGGTAGCAATAATTAAGATGAAAAAGCAGCATTAGTGTCTGCATTAATTATTCACCTCTGATGTAGAATTAAAAATATTTATCTACAGCTTCCCTCCCAAGAGAATGTTTACTGAGAAATAAATATCAACCATAAACATTCTAATTAATCTACGAAATACAACCATGCCTTTCAACACCCTATATATCAGTCTTCAAAAAAAAAAAAAACACCATTGAAGTACCACATTTTCTTGGATGCAAAAAATTAAACATTTAAAATGTTTACTTCCATACACTAATAAATGACATTTGCTTTTACCTATGTATTTTCATTCTCAAATGACTGTAGCATGTCAAATTAAATGCAAAACATTTTTAATGAGTAAAAATTTAAAAATACAAAAAGAACCCTACCACTTTATCATAAAGTTTCAAAAATCATTTGGGTCTATGATAAGATATAATATGAGGAAAGCAACTACTCTTGAAACTTGAGACAGACCAATACATATGGCCAGGACTGTGTGGAGACTTCCACAACAAGCTAGATCAACTGTGCTAAGAAACCAAGTTATCCATCTGGTGCCATGTTACCCTCCTTATCCTGCGCTGAAAGCTAAGTTTGTTTCCACCCAGCAGGAAGAAAACAGAAAAAGAATAAAAGGTAATGACAAACTAATAAATTTTAAATTTGACTATATATGAGAGACTCAGAAGTCAAATATGTAGATATCCAGGGCTCACAGAAAGTGACGGCCAGACTACTTTGCTTTCTATCTCCATCCCTAATTCCTACAGGAAATATCAGATTTGAGTACCCCATTCATCACAGATAGATTTATGCAATTTTGTACTCCTACTCTATCTGCCATTATTTATTCCTAATTCAAACCGTTTTTCTCAACTCCTTTAAGTTGTATCTCAAGAACACCTCTTCAAATCAATAGTTCATTGTTTAGTACCTTCAGGTTTTCCCCACTCATTTTTCTGTTGTTGAAAGAATGAAAGTTTTTTCTTCCGAGTTTCTCTCCGAGAATACCCTGAATACTTCTGAGATCCTCTTTTCTTCTATATTTCCCCTCCATGTTTTAATTAAGGAACTGAGCAAACAGTTTTGCCTCAAGCTATGACAATAAAAATTACACTAGCAAAAGAAATTTTGATTCATTATTACTGCTTCAATAGGCAAGTAGGGCTTCTCATAATTTTAAAAGCAAGAATACAGGAAACCAGTGGACAAGAAGGCAGGAAAAGGCCATCAAAACCACTTATGAAGGAAATCTGACTAAGGCCATGGAATTTCTTTCAGTGCTATCATAAATATAACTTTTATCAAAATAACTTCTTCTGCTGAACTTGAAACTTGAAACTGCACAAATGCCTGACAAAATAATGATGATTAAAGGGAAATTCAGTATCTAGTGTTTTCTCAGCAACGTCAAGCTACTGCTCAATCTTCTGATTTAATTAACAAATGGAGCTTAAGACTTTCACTACAAAGCAATTTTCCAGCTCTCATTTTCCCATATTCAGTATTTTCTTCTCTGATCATGACATATGCAATTTGGGTTTGTTTACATCCATTTAAAGCATAGTTGCAAAGGTCATCATCTTTTAAATTCCACCGCTTCTGTACCATTCACTGGCATACCCTTCTCTGTTCCAAATATACAACCTGTCTCTAATTCCAAGGCCCTGCGTTGCTTATCCCTAGCTTCTACATCTCATTTAGTATACTACCCCTCTTAGCTACCAACACCAGCCTACATCACACACCGGTTATTTTTTCAGACAAGCTTGGCTGAAACAAACGTCTGTCATGACTGCCAATACTGACTCATTATTTCTTTACACTCCCCAATCTCCCTGCTGTTGTTATTTTACATTGCAATTTTAATTCTTTGGTAGATAGCATCACTTGCTTTGTATTCATAAAATACAGCAAAAGTAGGTCTCCCATGTGCAGGACCTTCCAGATACTGCTGCAAAAAAACTAAATTCAGGTGGCTAGAGAAAGTATATTAACTTAATATTCTTTCAAAGCATAAATTCAAGAACTGTGGCAACACCCTATCCAACTCACTAATTCTCTGCACAGTCATTAATTTACTCCCACTTACCACTCTTCTGTTTACAGATCCAGGAATTAATTATCTCTTGTTGCTATACTCAAAGTAGAAAACTATTGTAGTTATCTGTCCCCGTAACTCCCTATCATGCTTCTAGACTTAGTTTTCCAAGACAGTTGCAGCTTTCTCATTGACTGAACCTATCTTAGATAGCAATTCAGGTTATTCTGGATGTTTTCCTATCACAAATTATCACTTTCGTAACTTTTTTGACATTGCAAGTCTCCAGTGACAGCATTTCAAATCACTTTTTAATTGACAGATTAAAATGTTGAACAGTGTCACTCCTAAGAATGATACCCTGCAAGAAGCACGCCTATTTAACAATTCTTCCTTAGCTAGTACCTGACATAAGATGAGCCTGTTCAGCGTCAGTGATCTGTAAAGATATCTTTATGAAAAGGAAGTGCCCATATTTAGAGAATCAACAGGCTTCTCTAAAGGGACAAAACGAAAATAAAACACGGCGGCAAAAAACCCCACAAAAAAACCCAAACAAAAACCAACACAACTTACCATTCCAAATACCTGCTGCTGGACCCAGTTGACATAGTCATTTCTGATATCTATCAAATCTTGTATCTCATGAATGTAAAATCTGTCATACTGTATAACTTGTCCTCTTTCATTTACCTAAAGAAGTGCAATTCATTTTTTTATCAGCACTTTGTATAACAGTTTTCAAAAGGACATTTTCCATATTTTTCAAGCATTTGATACGTCAGCCACAGAAACCCAGCTACTAAAAAAATTCTAGAAAAACAACAGTGCCTACAAAAATGGAAAAAACAACGTTAAAGACATGGATACATGGATTATTCACAATCTCATCAAAGATGCAAAGAAAAATAAGATTAACTGAGCATACAGTATTGCACAATACAGTGCTGCCACTTTGAAACATGTAATCTCACAGGAACAGTGATGAATATACATATTCATTTATACAGTGGAAGAAATACTCATTCCTGTATTTGTTCAAGTTTAAGAACTATGATTCAAGAACTCTGTTCTTAATTACAGTATGAATACTATCTCTATTACCTGTGACCGGAGGAACAGTTTCTATTTTAAAAAATTAAGCTTAGAAAGAGAGAGACGTGGAAAAATAACTTTATATAAATGCTTGTCTCTACAGTATAATTTTAAACCAGAAGCATCCACACTTTCCTAACACACACTTCTTTTCCCAAGGACTGTTAAGCACCATTAACTGGCAAAACAGCGAGATCCCCAATTCTGTCTTTATAACCAGATAATCTAAGCCTGCTTTTCCCAAACATCTCCCCTACCACCACTACTCCCCCGCAAACCACCAGATACTAAATCCATGAAATACCCCAGATATGTCACCCCATTTTTTCCTCTTACTTTAGTTTGTACCAGCTAATTATTAAGACTATACCAATATAAATAGTTAGGCAGCAGGATAGGTACAAATGTAATTATTTCTACAATGTAGCCACATACTAGTCAAAGTTGGGTTTCAAAAAAAATAGGAAAGCCACGTTACAATTCTACAATTACCCACAAGGCTTTAAGATTAAGATTAACTTCAGCTCTTAAGATTTACCGCTACTGCAAGCCTGAGCAGTGACAGAAATTCTAAAGGCAGCAAAATAATAATTTATTATATACCAACAGCTTTCCATATGGGAATCTGTAATGGACATCTTGCACTTCTAACACAAGACAGTTACTAAACAGTCTTACTCTCAGCCTTAATTTGGTCGTCTCCATAAAGAATAAAGAAAAGCTGAGCAAACCAAAGCATACAAATTCCAACTTCCAAAGCAGAAATCTTTTCCATTCTTTCTCACAGCTTGGGGAGAAGGGCTGTTACGTATAGCACACAAAAGTCCAATTTAGACACCTGTGCCCATTTTACTAGATTGTACAAATACAATACTTGACCAGCACCTTAAGGAGTGCCTAAAATGCTCTTTTAGCATATAAACACAAAATACCATAGGACCAGAATAAGCTACAGAGGGAAAAAAATAGGGGGTGGGAGGGGAAACCTCAGCAGCAATTAGATAATACACTGTGATGTGCACAGTCTGGTTACTCCAAACGATTTAGGCTATTTTTGTTCAAATTTCATAAATTCATTAGTTTTCATGAATTAAGTTACAAACTAACAAACAGAATAAACAAATCGGAAAATAAATGTTCGTCTTGGTAAAACTGTGCAGATCTTTCTCATTCAAAACACAGCTTGCTCTTATCTTCCATTTGTGATCTTATTTCAAGCTTAAGAGGCAATTCTTTCCAACATACCCTCACAGATGCAATTGACTGGGTCAGTCTGTGTTCCCAAGAAAATAGGTAATTCCATCACCATGTCAGATTGGAATCCAGAATTCCAATGGTTCATAGGTCCAGATGGAACAACTACAGATATCTCTGTAGGTGCAAGCCTAAGTATTTAAAACTCTTTAGTAATTTAACTTCATTTAACAACTACACAGCATACAGACGCTGACAAAAACAAACAGGTAAGTAATTGGTTAAAATTGACATAAACATACTCTATGCAATATTTCCAGAACTCTGAAAGCAGTGTGTAGAAAATTGGTAAGTATTCTTCTTTCAGAAGCCGGAATGCCAATCTTGCACAACTTCAAGAGGTGGACTACGACATCCTTGTAGAGTTCCACTATTTTGAGGAACAATGGAGGTTCAAGTACAGACCACCAATTTTCTGTCAACAAATGGTGAACACACAAACTTAGTACTTGCCACTACAATATTATGTTATGCTATCCTTTTAACTGAAAAACATGTTTTGCTAGAAAGCAACTTGTCAGTTACCAAAGACTCCCCCCAAAAAAAAGTTTAACACAGCAAGAGTGGTGCAGACTTTTAAACAACAAACTACTCTTTGTATAAATAATGAAACCTCTATTCAAATGCTCTATCCTTACACACCAACTCTTTAAATTATCTGTTCATGCAGAGTACACAATAGTATCATGAAGTAACTTTTGACATAAAAACAGATGGCTCAAACACTGAAACCCTGACGTAAGCAAACAGTCCTGAGAGCAATGGAAAGTGAAGGAACACAAAAAAGGATATACAATTCAAAGAAATTATCAGTTTGCTTTTCTTTACAGTAGACAAGCTCTTTACTCTCACCAAAAACTACTGAAAAATACAAGAGATGGGTTACAAGGCAAAAAATAACTGAGGAAGAAGAAAGCACCCTCTCAAAAAGATACCAATTAAAAAAGAAATATTCTGAAACCTCAACTCTTTAAGCTGAATTTTAGGTGACAGGAGTCACAATAGGAAGGTGTAAGGAAGTAGAGTTAAAAAAATAGAGCTATTCTCAGCTGCATATTTGAAGACCACATCTTAGGATCAGTGAGAAAACACGAACTGCTCAGAAGTAACAAAACAGGTGCTGTAGTCAAAACAAAGGCAATTTAACATCTGCTCTGCAACACTTCTGTAAATTGCTTAGAGATTGTTAGCTGTCTGACCACATAATTTTCACTTTAAAGTGCAAAGACACATATCAAGTACACTGAACTACACAGTTTAATTCCTCTCAAATGGAATCAGTCAAAAAATTACAATACCAGATGAATTCATATGGATAGCCAGTTAACTCACCCAGAAGCAACAGAATAGGTGTTTTCTTACACATCAAGCAATGTCAACCCTTAACTTTCTCAGTGGGGAATTCTATAGAACTGTAAATACACAGCAGGGGTTGCTGAGACCATGTCTTCACTGATGGAATTTCTATATATTTTCATCTGGAGAGCCTTAGTTTTTTAATAGTAAAGAATTCAGTTTCTTACCAAGAACTTTCAGAGGAGCTTTTTCTAGGTTCAGAATAGCTGTTCCAAAAGGAATAGCTAATGTTGTGAAATTGTTTGCATCACTCATCAGTGGGCATTCTGGTAGAGTGAGATACAGCCTCAAAGCCTCAACATCTGGTAAGGAGCTGGTCAACTTGGGAATAAGGTTCTTTTCCAAACTAGCCGCCACCTACAGCACATCATAAAATTCAGTTTATTTTAACGCAATTGTGAATTCAAAGAAATGCCCATCTAGATTAAAAATAATGTAGAAAACAATCATCAAGAGTTTAGACTGTTATACTTCTAGGAAAAAAGACAGTATATTAAATATTAAAATACAGACACATACAATACACTGATGTGTTACCTAATTGGCACAGCACAACACAGTTTTACATATTTGCAGTTGATACATTATTGAGTAAAGAAAATTACTAAAAGGGTCAGAGCAAGCATAACAATAGTATTTCTGGATAGGTGTAACGCAGAAAGATAATCCCAAACATAAGAAAAATATGCAGCACAAACCTGTTGTGATATATGAGCATGGTCAGGCTGTATAAGTTTGTGAAATAGTAGTCTAGCAGCATTCATATCAACCCCTGAGAATCTAGTGCTGGTTTTGTAATGATCATCATTGCTGCAGCAAAAAGAAAAATACAGAGAAAAAGACTGAATGCTGTATTCTCAGCAACTCAAGAATTTTTTCCAACTTGAATTTTTAGCCCTGCTTACTAAGGAATTAAAGTGTGAGCAATCACAGTATCAGACTTTTCTAATTTCTAACAGGACCTTTGAAGCAACTGAAAAAAATACCTACTCTAACTGCAAGACAATCGTGTAAAAACACTAAGATCTAAACAAGCCTGTGCAATATATTCCCCTTGAATTATATACAACCTGTGGTTGAGAAGTAATGAGTTTTCCTGGCTTACATGGTAGCAGCCACGTGGCACACACTTCCAAAGACTGGCAGAAGACATGCTGCATTTGGGCCAGCTAACAAACCACATGGCACTAAAGGAGCTAGAAGTTTAAACTGCGGGTATCAGAGTAACAGTAAGATAAGGAAATACTGGGAAGGTGTTACAGTTGAAACAAGAGACAGTAGGAAGGTAGCCACCATTAATTCTGTTCACAGGAATACTTGTTTAAAAGCCTGACCACTTACCTCAAAGCCAAAAAGCTCCCATTCAGGCACCCCGCTGAGGAGAATGTTCCATCAATTTCACTGAAATTGTTCATATGAAATAAGTTACATTTATTTTGTTTTCTTTTTACAAATTAGCATTTGCAATAAAAAACTATATTTAATCCCTAATAAACTACGTTGTACATAGGATGGAACTCTTGACTTTAACGTGACTAAACAACACTAGATAAAATCTCCATTCAAGACTCAATGCTTAAGACAGCTCAAATCAAAGCAAGTTTTGCAATTTGCGTTTCATTTCTTTGCATCCTCCTTTATTGAAGTAGAAGCAATAATCTTGGAGTTGTTCTCATATTCCTTTACATATACTGTTGTTTTTCAATGTGCAACTAGATACTTAATTTAATTTTGTATAGTCATCTAAACTGTGACAGAGATGACACACACTAAAGGATCTAAACTACTTGACAAGCATGACAACGAAAGCACAGCAAAAGCTCTGCACATAATAAAATCAGTACTTAAAAATAGCTTTGCTATGTACGTACAAAACTCCATTTTGACCAATTCATAAGTAAAATTATGAAAGACAACTTCTTTCCTCCAGATCACTTACTTAGCTATCTCTACAGGAAGTCTTCCAGATGGGAAAGTCAGCAATCTTTGAATAAACGTTTCATTCACAGTCCAGATCTGCTTCAAAAAGTCAGGATACCTAAAATCATCTGGTGGCACCATGTTCTAAATTTTAAAGAAAGCGTAAAGAATCAGGCATACAAAACTGATTTCCAGAAAAATCAGTCCTGTGGTTGAGCTCTTTAGGTCTTCATTAACTGCAAATTTGCCTACCCAGACTATTACTGTAAAATAAGCCCAAGGATAAATTTACTATATTCTAGCAGTTCCGCATTCACTATGAAAGTGGCACATACACTAAAACCACCTAGATTAGTGTGTTAATTCACACCACAGCTTACTTCACGGTAAATTCCCTAAACATACAAGTACTCTTCTAGAAGATGAACACTAAACAAGCTTTACATGAGAGTAGCAAGCACCTCTTCTCCCTAGTCACTGAGCCAGTTAGCTCACTGCCAGGCTGTGAGCACACAGAAAGAGAGCCATTCAATTTTTTGGACAGCTGCCCTCCCACCCCACTTCCATCAGACTCCTCTGACAATGAATTACGTTTCTCTGAACATTACTGCATCATCAGATGAGCTACATTTTGATGTGCTGCTCATACTGAATGAATTCCAGTAAGATTTCTAATAGTAAAGAGGAACAAAACTAAGACCACCATTTTGAGTAGGAGCACTGGTTCAAAAAGAGATGGCAAATAGCACCAAAAAGAAGGTTAAACTAGTAAAAGAAAACATGTATCTCCTGAGGGCGCAGCCTGACAACATAGCTGATTCAGTATAATGATGACTAGCTGTTGCCAAAAATCAGTACTTCTTATCCCATCCTACAGGATCAGGATGAGAAACACTCTTGCTATCTCCCTTGTGTCCAGCAGAAGCGTCATTTAAACCCACAATGAAACAACTCAGGGAACTGAGCTGCCCAAAAACTAACTTGACAAAACAAACAGATTTTGGCTGAGACCCCTTAACTGGCAAGGACACACACGTCCCAGGAGTACAGTACTCGCATAACTTTGAAAGAATTCAATACAAATTACCAAACTACAGAGTAGTAAAAGGGATACTTTTGCAGCATCAAAGTTCATCTATTGCCAACACTTTTTGTACAGAACAAGCCACAATAACTGCATTCATACAGTCTCCAGTTCACCTCAATTCACCTTAGTCAGTCAGAATCTACTTCAGTGATTAGAAAATTGCACAAGAGAAACTTTTTAAGGAAGGGGTTTTGATAGAGAAGTTTTGAGCCTATATTATCAGTAATTTTTCCAGTCTACACCTACTAAACAAGCTTCTCTCAAACGCAGCAATAGTTCCCACAACTCAGTCAGAATCAGGAAAAAAAACCCTAGAAAAATTGTTGATTCTGTACAACCAGATCAGGCTGTGGGCGCAAAGGGTTGCTGCAAGCCTGACCTGTACTCAGTTTTTCTTGACAACAAACATGTTTTCCACTAAAACCTGTTTTCCTTCATGTCCAAATTAGTTTGCACCCCACATACTCAACTCTTGATGTTTCATTAATCACTATGGTCTAGTATCTGCTGGGCTATATTGGAAATAGTCCCAATACAAATCCAGTCATGTATCTTCATCTTGTTTTTTCCTCCCAACTTGTCCTCGAATAGCATTTGCTTTCCACCATACTCCCACGTTGCCATTTTTACTATAAAGTCCTTCTAGACTTTTTTCCCCATACTAGAATTTAAACAGATCAATTCTTGTCCTTTTAAAACTTAAGTTTTAAGACTAGCATAAAACTCTACTGCATAACAAACTATGTCACCACCTATCATTTTTAGCAAAAAGCTCCATTTGTTTCCTCATCATTGCGGTATGCTAAAATGGTTACAGAGCAGAAGACAGCATAGCTGCAGTCAGGAGTTACTGAGGAGGGCTGGGCAGGGGTGAACAGCTCAAATACTCAATCACCTTTTCCTTTATGAAAGGAAAAGAAGCGCATGAATCCATCACTCGGAAAAAAAAGCTTATGCCAAAAAGCCTCAAGAGCTTACTGACAGCTAATACTCAATAATTGGATCCAAGTCCTCCAATTGCTAAATTGACTTAGCGTCTTGTGCTTCCAAACTGCTCTAATGAACTTTACAATGTAGTCTTCAACATGAAAATCTTTTAAAATGCATCAGAAAAACTAAAATTTAACTTTGACAGACTTTGGAACCAAAGTATATTTAATTTGTTACCTGTGGATAAAAGTAGTGTGCAAAACTTTGGTCCCCACCAGAGAAAATTCTCTTTACACAGTAACACTCCTCACTGTCTGCAACAGGAATAAAAAAACAGGCAACTGAAAATGTGAATTTGAGAAATGATTAAGACACGGCAATCAACACTCAATTAGAAAAAGGTTCCTTCGTTACGTAACCTCGCTGAAGCAGATCTTTGCGACACAATAGTTAGGACTACCTTTAACTGAGGTAAACGCTAACAGCTCTAAGTTTTAGCTCAATACTAACAAAGGCCCTCACCCAACAGCACAAGTAAGCATGTATTTCTACAGCAGAAATGGACTTTAGGGAACAGAGCACAGTGAAAATGCTGTTTGGAAGAAAGTGATTATAGCCCACATTTAGTTTAAATCTCAAGATTTGTGAAAACCTATAAAGGAACAGGAATCCAAGAAGTAAATATACCAGATGTTGCTTACCTGTGATTATCGGGCATTGAGTACTATAAGGAAGCCAGTTTCCTTTTACTGTGAAGGGACTTTTCCTATTACTGGTTGTTCCTGTACCTAGTTGCCCATTACCCCCGAGTCCAAAAGAATAAATTCTTCCAGATGAAGGAACAAACGCAGTAGTGTGCTGCCTAGGGCAAACAAAATTCAGTAACAAAAACCTAAGCATTATAACATGCTTTGTGCAGGCCAGCGTAAGTTTAATTGTGTTAAACAGTATGTTAAAGGTCCCGTAATATCAATCACTCCACTCCTCTATTGGCAAAGCACTGCCACTGGCAATACTCCATTTATACTCCAGTAGGCAATATTCCATTTTCATGGAAAAGTTCACGGAACAGAGATGCCAGGTCCTGCCTTGAACCCCTGCTTAGCCACAGTCTGACCTTTAGAGCGTATCTCTAGACATTCAGAAATTTAAAGTTTCTACCAGATTGGCTGCATCTCCTTTCCCCTCCCATCCCCTCAACTCTAGATGCCCTCTCTCCTACCATGAGCCTGGGAAGAACAAGTATTGAATTTATGTAAACTATTAAAAAGGAATGGGTCCACTCAATGTCAAGCAAACTGCCATTAAGATAGGTTTACATTTACATATTCTTTAACCCAAATAACAAAGTGTGCCCATCTCTTAAAAAATTACGTTGCCTCCCTCATTTAGTCTTCTTAGAATGCAATTCTTTGGACAAGAGCATTTTCATGTCTGCTGGGTATTTTTCCAATTTCTTGGGTGCTATTATAATACATACAATAAAAACCCATTAGAAACTGAAGTGCCGTTCAATCTCACGGGTATTTCACAAAACAAGTTATGTTTCCAAATTTTACACTTATCCTCAGTGATGCTCACGTACCTCCCCCAAAACACTTGTTCTTTAATAGGAAATGATAAAGTGACAGCAATAAACAACACCTTCACACTTCACACTGACTATTCACGCTTTCAGTTTAGAAAATCAGAGCCTCTCAAATAGTGTAACTTCCTTTAGTTCTTCTATTCAATGTTTTTAAAATCCCAGTAAGGTCTCTAAATACCTTTTGTTAGAGATCATCTTGCCTTCCCTAACTACAAAGGGTAAGGAAAAAACCCCACTTCATACAATATACATGCAGTTTTATACAAAACAAGATATTTATAAGATACATAGTGCTAGCACAGAGAAGACCTTACCTGCCACAAGTGATTTGCGTCACAACACTTCCCATAAGTTCAAAAACTTTCCTTGGGTTTATCTCGTGGCTGGTAGAGTTATGACCCAATTGACCATAGCCTCCAGCTCCAAATGTAAAAACCCCACCTTCCTAAACAAATAATTTATTTGCATTAAAATGATCATATATCTCAGAACAAGAAACTTAACAGAAATAGGGGTTTAATAAATCTCCTTGTCTGATGATTTTGGAATTGTGGGGAAAGGAGAGAAAATATACATGCACAAGAGGGCCCTGAGACACAGAAGGGTCACAAGTTAATTGCGGTTATGAAAATGTGGCACAGCTATCAAGTATTACCTTATTCATGTTAAATCGCATTCTTGTAATTTCCATATTATTATACAATATTCCTGCCATTAACTTATGTCATTAATAGATACTAATCCTTGTTTTTCTTCTTTTCCAGTTTTCTTGATGAACTACAACAGTATACAAACTCACACTATCAAAAAAATATACTTTGGCTTTTAAATTCTGAATATAAATCTTAAAGCAATTATCAAATAGGAAGCTGCCCTCCTCAGGCAGATGACGCAGAGTATGACTGAAATAGTCAGCTTCATTATTTCAAAGTGTAAGAAACCAGAAAATTTCAACATTGTTGTAAGGCAAGTAATTTTTTAAAAGCGCTTTTGATTAATTTAATCAAGAAATTAACCAAAAACTTTAATGAAAGAATATTAAATCAGAAACGTTTTCAGAAGTTATGCAACTTACCTTACAACAACTTTGAAACTTTCCATTTTCAAATGCTTTGAAATTGTACAGCTGTTTCTTTCAAGTCTACTCTGCATGAGACTGGACCTCTACTGGAAATCATCATTAAAATGGCAGTGTCCGCTGAGAAAAACCAACAGCCTCATTCACTGAATCAGGGTAACAAACAGTGACAGGTTTTTCTGAATTTCAGAAGGATTTGAAGAATGCTTGCATATATACTCAGTACTGTCTACAAAAGATATAAATCAAGACCACTTGTTCTGCAAGACCTATCATGCAAGGGAAAATGGAGCTATACACATAGGTGACATAAATAATTTGTAGAAACATTTACAGTAAATTCAGTATCTTAATTGAGTCCATCAGCTTTAAAGCAAGTTTGAAGTTAACTTCTATACATTAAAAAGGGAAAAACATTTAGAATGCAAGTTACAGATTGCTGTTTTCTTTACATTTTATATTTCCCTAACTTCACACAATACATCAATATCAATTTCAGGATTGCGAAGTTGCCACGTCTTTCACAGTCAAAGCGAGGACAAAAAGCAATTGTTTGTGGTCTTTTCCTTTCACTGTAGAAAATTACCAAACCTTGATTGGCCAGAAGTGTTTTCTACAGCTATCAGTAGTAAGCTCAAAATATTCTGTTTATAAATTGATACATTTTATTGAGAGTGATGAACAACAGGAAACATCAAAATGTTAATACATACTGATTTATACCTAAATGTTGAAGTCTAGTCTAACTATCACAACACAGAAAGAAAAGTACAGGGTCAATCATTTAAAGTAAGATGTGTATGTATTGTTTTACCCACCACAAAATAAAGGTACTTATCACCACTTGATGCTTGAAATACACTATTCGTCACTAAAATGAGTGTAAGAAAGGGCACTAGCATTATACATTATATGTTGCTCCTAAAAGTTTCCAAATAAGTTTAAAAGTTTAAAAAAATGAGGCTCAAAATGATGCATTTAGCCAACAGTTATGTATAAGGCAATCTGACACATTTCAGCTCTCTATTTTAATCAATTCCTACATCTTTGTACGAACATGCCGCACTGACACAGAATACATGCTTTTTTTCCAAATCGGCCTTGGAATAAATGACCAATTTTTCACAGAACCTCACACTATAATACTTACTAGTGGATTATGTAAATCTTCAATTTCTTCTATTGGTTTGCCAATAGTATGTAAATAGCTGCTGCGCAACAGCAGCCAGAAGAGAGAGGAGTGAGAATATGTGAGAGAAACAACTCTGCAGACATCAAGTTCAGGGAAGGAGCGGGAGGAGGTGCTCTGGGCACCAGAGCAGAGATTCCCCAGCAGCCTGTGATGAAGACCACGGTGAAGCAGGTTGTCCCCCTGCAGCCCATGGGGAGACCACAGTGGATCAGATATCCACCTGCAGCCCATGGAGGACCCCACGCTGGAGCAGGTGGATGTGCCTGAAGGAGGCTGTGACCCTGTGGAGAGCCCACCACAAAAAACCTCAAGCAGGTTTGCTGGCAGGACTTGTGACC